CACTTACGTGTCACATTGAATGTTCCATTATAACTACCGTATAAACACATTTGAGGATGTTTCTAATTTTAAAATTTTACCATTTAGTGTACATGTTTAATTCTGCATCAGCCGGTGCTATGGGGTGTGGACGATTGGTTGCACTTTCGAGAAATATTTGTGTGGATATGTTGAGTCAATTTCAGGAAAGAGTGACGTTAGAGAATTTTGTAACTGCTGTACAAATGAAAGAAATTTGAATCTCCCTCTATTACACACCTACTTTATAATCGTTGTTAATTTTCCTTTAAATGAGAAATGTCATTTATTGAATGATATTATTTATATTTAGAGGAAAGCGACCAACAATAGAAAGTGGTTAAATTGCGCATACATGTATGCTCATTTCGGGACGCGTAGCCAACACATTATCACCATAAACATCCAGAGTGTCAAGTTTTAACAATGCATCATAGAGTGTTTAGAAGAAAAAAAACCAAACACGCACGCACGCTCTCATGCACGCATGCACGTATACACAACAACATCATCATTATTAACAACAACAACAACAACAACAACAACAACATAAACAACAACAACATAAACAACAACAACATCATAAACTAGAACTGTGTCCAAAGAACACGGATGCCCCCACTGTGCAGATGTGCTCGTAAACAAGAGCATGCATATCTGTTTGTAAGATTTTTATGTGGAACTTTTTATTCTGCAGTTGCAAAGGAATTAATGAGTCCTGTATATTATTAATGTTGTCGATTCATTTCAAAATAATATATTTAAGTGATGATGTTTTAAATGAACTTGTCTATGATGACAGAAAAAAGTCAAATATTTTGAATACTTATTTTACAAGACAATCATTAATTACTGGCTCTGACAAAGAAGTCCCTATCTTATCATCTGCTTCAGCTAATCCTCAATCATTGGAGTCAATTACAATTTCCACCTCTGAAGTTGAAGATGCAATAAAATGTCTTAAAATTGGAAAAGCTTCAGGACCTGATGGTGTTGATAACAGACTTCTAAAGGAGTCCGTTGAACAAGTAAAATTACCTCTTTGTGAATTATTTAATTCGAGTTTTCAAAATTGTTATGTTCCATCATCTTGGAAAATTGCTAATGTATGTGCAGTTTATAAAAAAGGAGATCGTTCACTTGTGTCAAATTACAGGCCTGTATCCTTGTTATCAACAATAGAAAAGGTTTTTGAACGAATCGTATTTAAGCATGTATTTAATTTCCTTAATCGCTCAAAGTTTTTTACTCCATTTCAATCGGGTTTTATTCCAGGCAATTCTACAGTAAATCAGCTTGTCTTTTTGTATGATACTTTTACTAAAGCTTTAGATGAAGGCCTTGAAGTAAGAGTTGTATTTTTTGATATAAGTAAAGCTTTTGATAAGGTGTGGCATAAGGGGCTTCTTTCTAAACTTTATCATGCAGGAATAAGAGGAAATCTTATTAATTGGTTTTCTATTTACCTCACTGATAGACAGCAGCGTGTGGTTTTACCTGGAAGTACTTCAGATCTTACCAATATGGAGGCTGGAGTCCCTCAGGGATCTATCTTAAGCCTCGGTCTCACTTACTCCCGGCAAAGCCCAGGACCATCCCGGTAAGTTACCGGGATGATCCGGGACGATCCGGGATGAAATTATTGTTGCGGTCACACTTACCCCGGCAGCACTACGGTAGTTCCCTACTAACCACCCAGGATGCGCTCCGGATCATCCAGGCAGAGCCCAGGTGAAGCTACGGTTCATGCCGGTGCTTCCCCGGTCGTTCCCGGATGACGCCGGAAGAGCCCCGGTTGACCCAGGCAGAGCCCCGGTTGATCCAGGCAGAGCCCCGGCAGAGCCCAGGACGATCCAGGCAGAGCACCGGTAGAACCCCGGTGGATTGAAAACGGCCAAAAATGATAACTTTGATACATAATTTTTATTTAATATAATATCTATTGTTCCAGAATAGTAATTCATGATGATTTCCTGAAAAATCCTTATTCCATACTGGATAGAAGGGAAATGGGAAGACTTTTAATACAAACAAGTTCAATCATTGCAAATTGTCCTTATTCTTATGAAATAATCTGGGCTTTGCCGGGGCTCTACCGGGGCTCTACCGGATCAACCGTAGCTCTACCTTTATCATCCGGGGCTCTGCCTGTAGTTACCGGGGCTCTGTCGGCATATACCGGGGCTCTACCGTAGCTCTACCGTAGCTCTACCGGCTATATCATACCCCGGATCATCCCCGATTTCTGCCGGCAGAGCTACGGTGCTTTCCCGGTATAATCCCGGTCGTTCCCGGCAGAGCTAAGGATGAAGCCGGCAAAGCTATACCTTCCCGGATCATCCCGGACCACCCCGGTGATATTAAATATTTTATTCCATCCGGGGTCGAATGCCGGATGTTCCCGGATCATCCCGGATCATCCAGGACGTTGCCGGCAGAGTTACGGATGTACCCCGGTTGTTCCCGGACGTACTCCGGTCGTTCCCGGATCACCCCGGACGTCTACCGGGGCTCTGCCGGGGCTCTGCCGGGATGTAAGTGAGACTGTAGCTTTAGGACCACTCTTGTACCTTATCTTTATAAATGATATTGTTACAGATATGAATTCAAAAATTAATCTTTTTGCAGATGATACAAGTTTGTATATGATTGTTAAATCTCCAGTAGAAACAGCAACTCAAATGCAATTAGATATTGAAAAGATATCAAACTGGGCTAACAATTGGCTCGTGCAATTCAATCCTAATAAATCTGAGTCAATGGTAATTTCTAAAAAGATGAATAAACCACACCATCCTCCATTGTCTATGTCTAATGTAAGCATCCCTGTGGTTGAATCTCACAAACATCTGGGCTGTTTTCTTTCAGAAGATGCTTCCTGGCATGAACATATTTCTTACATCAAAAACAAGGCTTGGTCACGAATAAATGTTATGAGACGTCTTAAGTATTTGCTTGATCGTAGATCATTGGAGGTTATATATTTTGCTTTTATTCGACCAGTTTTAGAATATTCTGATGTAGTTTGGGACAACTGTTCAAACTATGAAAAGGAAGAACTCGAAAAGATACAGCATGATGCTGCAAGAATTGTAAGTGGATGCACTAAACTTGTTTCCATATCGGAGCTCTATCACGAAATATGCTGGGAAAGTCTTGCTGAGCGCCGTCGTAAACATAAATTAATTTTATTCTTTAAGATGGTAAATGGGATTTCTCCTGAATATCTGTGTAATCTTGTTCCTAATACAGTAGGTGAAACAAGTCAGTATAATCTTCGTAACTCAACAAATCTCCAAATTATACCTACAAGAACTTCTCTATACGCTAATTCTTTTGTTCCTTCAACATTAAAAGAATGGAATGAGTTACCACTCAATGTAAGAAATGCAAACTCATTAAACAACTTTAAGTCTCTCCTAAATCAAGGAAGTAGCAAAAGCAATTCTTTATTCTATTACGGTGACAGGAAATATCAAATACTTCACACGCGACTCCGGAGAAATTGCAGCTCTCTCAATCAACATTTATTTTTAAAGAATATTGTTCAATCGCCCCTTTGTCAGTGTGGTGAAATTGAGTCAACCTAACACTATTTTTATGAATGTCAAAGATTTGATAACATAAGACGTATTCTGTTTAATACAGTATCAAATATTATAGCTCCTTCATTAGAGATCATCTTGTTCGGAACGGAATCCAAATCAATTGAAGCAAATGAGATTATATTTTCTGCAGTTCATAAATATATCAAACTAAGTAAGAGGTTCGAAACATGATTTATTGAAACATCTTGTACTCATTATAACAGTCGTTTTTTTACCATTAAATTTGTATTCTCCAGAACCAGCCAAAGCAAGTCAGTTCTTAATGTGCTAGGATAACGTTATAATTACAACTAATTCCCCCAATTTATTATATATGTCTGAATATGTATGTATCCTTAAGTTTTTTTTTCTTTAACATATGTATATCTAATATATGTATATGAATTCATACACATTGTCTCAGTAGATTGATGCCATCACTTTGTTGTTAATTCAAAATAGAGTCGGAGAAGAACTATATAAGATTTTATATCTTTCGTTCTAATCCATTTCATCATTGTATATATTGAATGATTGTATATTATGTACTGTGTATGTTTATGACTAAAATATGTTTAAACTAAACTAAAATAATATATTTTATACAAAGGCTGTCAAATGGAAGTTTAAGCAAAATCTGCCATCCGGTTTTAGAGGAGTTGCGTTCACAAAATTTTTATATGGTATATAGTGAAAAAATCAACAAAGGGCCATAATTCGCAGCAAAAATTCGTTCCTTTACTACCATCTACACATTAAGGTTGTTCATCCCTGGAATTTTAAGCAAAATCTGCCATACGGTTTAAGAGGAGTTGCGTTCACAAAATTTCTACATAGTATATAGTGAAAAAATCAACAAAGGGCCATAATTCTGTTAAATTTGGTCGCAGCGATAATTCCTTCTTCCTTTACTACCATCTACACATTAAGGTTGTTCATCCTTGGAAGTTTAAGCAAAATCTGCCATCCGGTTTAAGAGGAGTTGCGTTCACAAGATTTCGGGACGTACAGACGGACGTACGGACGGACGGACAAGTGCAACGCTATATGCTCCCCACTTTGTGGGGGCATAACAAAAACAACAAAACAACAACCTATGATAATATACGAGTATATAAATATTTTCCAAATAAAACAAAAACTGCCTTTTATTATATATTTTGGTACAATTTCTTTGTCTGAGCTACGACCTAATTACCATTTGATAACATTTTATCTATAAATGGAAAACTTGAAATGAAGTTAATTAATCACCACCCAAGCACAGGATAAATAAATTCGTGTAATTTCAGTTAATTTGCATGATAATATCCTTCTTTGCCCAAGTTTCCATTTTAATTTCCTAATATTTCATAAGACAGGACCACGTGACGTCATAAAAGCTTGATGTTTTTTCTTTAAAAGATTGCCGTCGGACCCTGTTTGTGATTAGTGTACAGGGGAGTATTCAAGTATATAAGTAGCAACAAATGGTCACAGATTGGTGAAAAGTCGTCAAAGAACAAAGTGACAAGTGTTTTGTGGTTCACTGCTGGTATAGATAAAGGTAAGGGAATTGCTTAGTTATTTTTTAGCAATAATTTGGCTGCTTGGCATATTATTAAGACTTCCACTTTATTAATTTTTTACTTTTTAAGTTTACTTAAATAGTGTCGTAAAGTATAAAATAACATTGTTTTCTTATTAAAAAATATCCAACATATACGGGTCGGACGAATAAAATTATTGAATAAGACTATTTTGCTGCATGAATTAAAATGCAAAGATAACCTCTTGATAGATAAAGAGTATAAATCAAATAAGGTTTTATAAATTGATAATAAATAATCACATAACATTGTCTTGTTTTGTCAGCCAAAATGTTTAAGCTGAAATCAAACAAAAAAGCATTTAGACAAGATTCATAAGAAAACGAAGGTATTACAAATATCAGATGACATGGGAGATTATGTTACAATTCTCAAACTATTTATTTTTTTGTTTACAAAACAAAGTCATCATTAAGTGTTTGAATCAAGTTATGTTAGATCATCTAAGAATGGGGCCATGAAAAATGCATGGGTACTCTACATGTTTGTCCGTTCGAATCCTATAAGGAATTTTGAAATATTGCACAAGCTTAAAACCGAGCGGTATTTCAACTTAAGTGTTCATCTCGTCCGTGTAATACAGTTATTGAGTCATCACGCGACTGTTTGAATGCATGGCTCAAAAGCTTAGAAAAAAGATAACTAAATGAATTAAAAAAGTGATTTATTTAAAAACTTAAATCATATAAAAATCAATTCATTTATTAAAACTTGACATCGTTATAGTTCTGATGGACATTCTGGGGAAATGAAGAAAACATATTTGAACCTATAAAGTTAAACTAATTAAACACGCACTATATATTACAACTACAAAATTTATATTTTTGTGTTAAAAAATATTTCTGGCAAATATCACCCGTATTTGATATATTTCTTACTTTACGTTGTAGTGTTAACCAAGGAAGACTTCAGCTGCTGATATTCAAAATGGGAAAACATTCTGTTTCAATAATGACAACCTACGTATTATTTGCCATTTGTCTTCTTATTCATAAAACATCTGCTGTTGAGAACACTGAAATAGACTCAGAAAATATCAATGATCGTGATCAAGAGTTATCAACATACATTCTAGAGAAACAAATGTACAATCTACTAAAAGACAATCAACGTCTTCTACAATATATTGCTTTACATGGTAAGAGATTTTTATTTTTTCATTTTCTATAGCACACGAGGAAACGTTTGATTATATTTGAACAAAGTAAAAACAAAAGCAATAATGATGTCGTAGATTTATTGTTCATCGTTACAACTTTTGTGGTCAATGGTTTCTCTGAACTTATTTTTAAATATTAATAAGAACTAGTTTTCCGTTTGTTCAAAATTGCTCCGTTACAAGACATTATAAATTTTGGAAATGGTCAGACAATTTTAAAACTTTTAAACTGATCTTAAAATATTAATGAATCCCTTTTTTATTTAAATCTGAACTGAAATAAAAAATCCCTTTGGTTTCATTTTTTTTGTAATAGTTTTTTTAAAAAGACTTTAATTCTTACTTGTAAATGTCAGACGTACATACCGGTAATTTAATAAATAGTAGATAGCATTTTGTGGTACTTAAAATTCATATGACAAGACTAAGTTAAAGTTAGCAAGCAGTTCATTTCGTAATGCTATATTTCCAGCATTATTCATAGTGATAATCTGTAAACCTTTAAAGACAAATCTTATAACGACAGAACAAAATCACGGACAACAAAACACCAATACCAAATACACACAGCGCACATTCGCACATGATTTATCATATAGTGAATAAGTCAAATGTTATTGACAGTGCTGATGCATTCAAAACTTAAGTTATTTCAATATTGATATTTTTCAGAACCAGATCACACCGAAAATCCAAGATTCAAGAGACAAAGTAAGTACGATATGATTTGTTGTTTCATACTGTTTTGGTGACACTTGCTTGTGTCCCTTGTTGTTTTCTCGTCTACGGTAAGTATCTTCCCCATTGCCTCTAGTTTTTATTTCTTTGATTAACCCCCCCCCCCCTTCCCGGTCTTCTGTCCCCTTCCCCTTTGTGGGCCTATTATTATTTTCTTTGAATTCCTAATCAGTTACAAATTATTTATAATTTAATGATTAACGTGTCGTTGCCCTGTCCTTTTTATGTTTGGGGTCCGCCTGGGCTCCTTGCCGTTGGTTCGTGTTGCTGGGTCATATGGGGGTTGCGTTCATTGAACGCCGCCTTTCCTTGTTGATCTTGTTTTTCATATTTTATCTTTATGGAGGCTCATCTATATCTATATAGAAATGGTCACGTGATGCGATTAATTTGGTCCTATAATTGCACGAAATAAAGGTGTGTCTACCAATGCGCCCTATCGTTGCCTTGAATCTTCTTCTTTTATCATAAAAAGAAGATGGTCACCATATAGTTTTTACACAACGTTGGTATAACTTAACGATATATCTCTCTCTTATTCCATCAACTTACACGTTTTGATTTTATAATTACGGACCTTGTTTATAACTAAAAAAACTTTAAACATGTTTTTTGAAACATTGCAGGTGTTGCCGGACTAGACAACTTGGACCTGATGACAAAAATGTTAGGAAAGACAATGGTGACAGGTACCAGTTTGTCAGACATGCAAAAACTGATGTTGAAAATGGGACGAAGAAGATAGGATAGTTTGGACATCAGACTTAAAATCTTCCTTTGAAATTGTGATAATAAATGTTGATGTAAAAATGGCAGATGTCCCAAGCTTAATGCCCTACAACAAAGCCGGATCCTGACATTGTTTATAGCTTTATGAAACTAACATTGCTAGATGAATAGAAGATGTGGCATTAACGAAGTTTACACCAAACATTGACATTTAAACAAAACATAACATAACTGTGAAAAATATCATATATTAAGAATGAAGTTTGGAAATAAAATCTAATTAATATATATAAAATAAAATGAACTTGTGTTGTCTTTTCCTTTTTTTATATCAATATTTGAGAAATGAATGTTATGTATTTTGTAATATATGAAAACACTAAATATTCATTTCAATGATTTCAACGATGTGTCAAGCAGACATGTGCGAATATAATCTGTATCGTTTATTATTCCTATAGATCCACAAAAATCTTAAATCAGCTACGTTAATAGAGCTACACTCTGCTTTTAACTCTCTTTCACTCACCTATCTGCATAGATATTCAAACTTAAAAACAGATTATTTACGTTCTTCACATGGACAGTAAAGAAAGTAAATAATTTGTGTTTGATATATATTTAAAATGATACCTAAATATACCTGTCTTCTTAAAGGATTAGTATAATAATAATTATAACTGTTATAATAAATATGAACTAAATTGAGTAAATATTTGCATAAATGATTACTTTTGAAAATATTTAGTTTAAGTCATATTTTAAATCTTACATATTTTATTTCAAGTCAATGACTAAACTTAAGAAATTAATAGACAATGAAGTTTTGAGGTAAAGAGTATTCTTTTGTGTCATCTTATCCTTCGATTCGGTATATTTGGACATTAATTACAGTTTTGTTACGAAACAATGTTCTTGAAGACGTTTTCGGTAGTTTATTTTGTGCGCATCGTACTGTAATGCGCTTCTAAGAAAAGATAATCACGGATAATTACTCTTCAAAAAAGAAGGTTGTTGAATAGTACTGAGGTAACTGTTTAAATTACGGCTACAAACAAATAATGAGTGATTAGTTCAGAATAAATATTTCTAAATGCTCAGGAGGAGATCGGGTTAAAAGAAAAGAGGGTCGTTTAGACAACATCAGATAAAGGATTTCTCCTTACATTAGTACGACATCATTGATGATGATTCCGCGCACACTACCCCACCCACTTGTGGTAGTGACGAGAGTGCGTCGCCACTTGAAAACTGACAGACAAGTGGGCAAAGAAGTTTAAAATGATATATCTTAAAAATGTTAAATAAAAACAAAATTAATATCTAAGAAAATAATTTTTTTAATGTTCCAATTTTCATTTTTTTAATTTCTGAATATATGCTTACTGTTGTATGTTAGTATGAAGGCTATTCTTGCCGAAAATCCAGCCTTGTTAATCTGAGTTGAACAGTTTGATTACGGACAAAATACAATTGTAATTCTTTGTATGTAAACTCCAATGTTGCATTCTTAGATTGAGTTTGTCGATTTAACATTGTAAACATGTTTTTCAACAAAATACATTTTGCAAAACGACAAAACATTAACTGTTTTTCTGATAGTAGCAATACCAAGTGTTCATCATAACATGCGAATACTCATTGTTCGTGTATACGCCGACAAAACAGAAGTTACTTTCTTAGCTTTACATTGTCAAACCATCATGATTCGGATCAGCATAATCCAGCTTTACACGTTTTTCAATAGGAGATAAAATAAGCTCCGCCCATTTTCCCGCCCACTACATCATCGTAAATAAACGTATTTATCCGCTCATTTTCGGTATTTACCGTCAGCGACAAGAAGGAAACAAGAACACACACCGGCGTAGTTTCCGTCTACCACACCTTTTAGGTGTTTGGTCATTCATCAATATGAAACATAATTCACTTGCATGATTGCCATTCTATGCCTTTATTCAATCATGATCAGCGGACTTTAAATGATTATATGCACATAAGTACGTTGTGGATACCACATTTTCTAGAAAAAGAAAGAAAGAAAGAAAAAAAAAAAACCTCACCAGGTTACTAACTGTCTGAGGTTAAATATATTTCAAGGAAAAACTATTGATAAGACTATATACAACGACAAATAAATTTTACTGAGGGTATTCCAATTTGCATAGGAATGAGTAACATTGACAGTTAAGCTGCTACCTTACCACTTTCAAATTTTCAAGTCAACATCTGACAGAGATTTTGATACGACTAAAATACTAATACAGACCAAATTCTGGCTGTTGTCTTTCCTAGTAGAAGCATTTATTATTACATTTGTCACCTTAATTCTAGCGTATGACTTGACAAGAAAAAGCTTTTAACAATACCAAAGTTATATGTACCCTTTCGTACATAACTTTTTATTTTTACCGTACTGTATAAATGTATTTTCTTATTTTTACCATTTGTTTCAATAATGTTTAAATGAGTCCAAAGGTTTGTTTGTTGATTAGCAGTTTATGTATATCTTGTTTATTTTATCTCTAAGAAAGCCATCACTTACAAAACTTAATAAATATTCTGCGAAGTATTTCATGTACATAAAAATAGTTCTCTGCTTTTTATCAGATAGACAGCAAGTCTTGGTAACAGCTATTGACAGCATGTATACACAGATTTTGGAGCTGTTATTGATTCAATACAATGCATAAAAGAAGACCTTAACCTACGTCAGCTTTCATATATTTAATAATAAAAGGCGGAATCACATCCTATGACTCAAAATACCTCCCAAAGGAGGTAAACAGACATTAAAATGGGACAAAGTCACAAGTTTTTAGTTATACAACGGAATTATTGATTGTAAACTTTGAATAGTTCCGTGGTTATAGACTAGGTCAGAAATTTGGGGTTTTCTACAACCCAATATAGAAAGAAGGCACAGGCTTACTATTCAGTTCTCTATTCGTGTTGCCAAAATGTATCGCATTCTAGTACTATTTGCTGAATGTAAAAGATATGCAGACGAGTACTACCGATGCAACGTTCGAAGGCACGTAAACCCTATCGATGAGAAAAAGTGGTTTTTGTCCTTATATATGGGAAACATTCCCTTATGCTAATTCACCAACTTTAGTTTTTGCATATTATTAAGCTCATTATCAGTATAAACGTTGTTACATTGTAACATTATATCTTAACCAATTTTGCATTACTTGAATATCCTGTACTAGAATATGTTTTAACAAAATCAGAGGACATTCAAAGTCAACTGTAATTCAGTTGATGTATGTGAAATTTATCACAGTTTTATTTAATTTGAAATCTTTTTGTACCAGCAAGAGTTAGCTCTCTTTTTAAAAGGAAAGTGTGGTGTTGTCAACCTGAGAGTAACAACTGATGCAGTTAGATTCTCAACGTCATGATGCACATCATAAAACGTGTTCTGTACGTTCTATCGTTTACATTTCTACATGTCGCAAATTTGAAGTTATACATTTCTAAATACAGTTTGCAATTTATCTAAGTTGCATGTTTATAGCTTCCATTTTATCAAATCGAGATAATCAAAATGCTTACTACCAATGAAGTATGTAACTCTCGGATCAACAATTAGATTTTTACTAATCTGTTTAGTAGAACCGAAGTATGCATTGTCAAGTTTCAAAGGCTGGATTTTTGGCAACGAATAACCTCCATATGTTAGTCGAGTGAAGAAATAATATGGCCTTATATAACTTGTAAAAAATGTTTTAAAACATATTCAGTATCATTTTCTTAATATAACATCAAAAGAAATAGAAATATATATTTCAACATGTTTTTAATGTATATATAACAATGCATTTAGTATAACACTGATATTTCTTAAGAAACCGTGGTTATTTTGACAATTGACAAATGCGGTAAGCATGGAAACTGCCCATTTATATATATATAAAAACAAGAGCAAAAACTAACACATCAACATAATTATATTTTTATTTCTATTTTTGAATTCACAATAAAACTTTACTTTACATATCAAAAATGTAGAAAATTCTATGAAAGAAATTTTTCGATATCTTTAATTTATTGACATAATTCATGTTTACCTTTGTTCATTTTTTCGGTTAAGAAGCATGAGAAACTCTTTTTAAAGTAATATGTTCAGATTATCATTTGGTTCATACAGAACCTTTAGATTAAGCAAGTTTTGTATATAAATTATGCTTATTGTGTGTTTATTAAGCTGTCATATACATTTGTATAACACAGTTTGGCTATTTTGACAGTTTTGAGATATATACGCTTACCATGGAAACTGCCATTTTACAAGATATCTAAAACATCAACATATATTTATCTTTTTCTTTTTGAATTTGTCATTAAATTTTACACAACATACAAAATATTTAAAAAATCCTATGAAAGAAATTTTTCGATTTTTCTTTAATTATTTACAAAATTCATGCTTGTTTTTCTCATTTTTGTTCAGTTAAGAAGCATGAAAAACTCATTTGTTTTAAAGAAATATGTTCAGATTATCATTTTTCAAACAGAATCATTGATAACGTTAGCTTTACATAAAATCATGCTTGTTGTGTGTATTAAGTTATCTTTTACATATTTAATTTTTTATAACACACGTTTGCTATTTTGACAGTTTTGAGATGTATGGTTACCATGGAAACTGCCATGTTACAAGAAATTCAACACGTTAACGTATATTTTTCTATTTATTTTTGTATTTGCCATTAAATTTCACTTATCATACAAAAAAAATTTAGAAAATTTTATGAAAGGATTAAATTTTCATAAAACTGTAGAAAATGTCTTTAAGGCCAGTCCAGTGTACAATATTGATAGTCTGGTAAAAAGAAATTAAAAGGAGAGTATTGCAGAACCAGTTTGAATGAACCCATTTTATAATAGAAAATGATAGACGCCCAAAGCACCGGTTAAAACAGTAGTTTATCTTCAACACTGAATATACACAACGAACGAAAAAACGTAAATCAACTCAGACTCTTTCGGTCGAACACTCTCAAAATCAGTTCAACTTCCTGTAAATTTTACAGGAAAGAACTGAATAAAATAATTATTGCATTGGTCATTGTTAAAACTACAAACTGAAATCCTGAAATCTCAGTAGCGATTCTAAAATTATAGGTAAAATAAAATAAAGGATCTTTATGGAATGGTTTACGCGAATATTTTTATTAATCTAAAGGAGTTCCCGTAGCGAACTTTGTTCTTAAGTTTTTCAGATTTTGAAGTATTTTTTAACCTTTTAGTAAATGTTTTCAGTTCTGTTTAACTCAAATTATTTTACATTGCTTTTTAA